ACATAAAGTACAGAACAGGTGAGTTGTTCACCATGTCACAGTTCCTTGGCATTTAGCAGAAGCATGATATGAAAAAAAACTCATTTTGTTTTACACTTATGGTATTGTTCATTCACATAATTTTGTCTGTGTACTTCTGTGCATCCTTCCCGTTTGGATCAGCATTTATTTAGAAAATGTATGGGGCCTGTTCCAGCTCATCTGGGAATATCTGCAATCATAATACAACTCAGATCCCTATCTTGGAAAACACTGGAGACCATTATGAATTATGATGGAATTTGCCCCACTGTTTGGGTCCTACTGAAGGCAAAAAAATTGTAATTCTTTACCACATAACTTTAATTATAATAATTATTTTTCTTTTCAACTTATGAATTGCACAAATGCTTGTTTGTTTCATTACTGTTATTGCTTGTAATTTAAGAAGTTATAGTTTTGAGCATGTAGCATGGTTAGAAATTGAGGGACTTCAGACACCACTGGCAGCATCATTATTATATGTTGATGATAAGTTTAATTTTTCTTACTTTTTCTGTGGTGATACATTTAAATTGAAAATTTACCTTATACACCCATACCAAAGAACAATCTGACAAATCAAAATTGATCTTAAATTAAAGATTGAGCAAAGCAAGGAAATCCACTGAATGTGCTTCTGGAATGGTGACTGTTAAGTCAACTGTTGGAGATACCTATATATTGTTTTATGGAAGAGGCAGTCATTGCAGTTGTCCAAAAAGTGCGCATATTTCATAAAGTCATACAAAAAGGGCTTGGATTATCAACTTAAGTACAATGCAAGATGCTTGAAGAAAAATAAGCAAGATTATCAAAAAATTTAAGCACATTGAACAGCCAGTATCAGAACACGTAAAGAGAAGCTTGACAGCCACAGCAGGTGTGATAGATCAGGCCCAGTGTTGCTCTGTTGTGGCAGTGCAAATATGTTGCTGTACAGGTGAATTGTTTAACACCAAGGTATAAAACTCAAATAAAGATTCATTAGCAGGAACAAAATTGTATTGAACTGTTTATATATAAAAAATGAAGATTAGTACTGTGGTTTTAGAGTATTGATTTGGGAATAACATATTTTAACCCTTTGTAAACTAGGTGAATGTGTAACTATGTGTAATATCTGTTTTAACATCAGTGAATTCCACATTGTGCCCACAGAGTGCTTTTAAAACATTTTGTACTTTGTATTTTAAAAACAAACATAAATTGCTTCCTTCAACAACATTAATCATTTGATCATTGTAATAGAAATAGGTTGTGTTTTCTTTGAGGTAGGGACTGAACACAGTTTAATTTTGTATTATAACACTTTCCTGTCACATGTCAATAAACAGTGCTCAGCTGTCTTTTCCTAAAGATTATAAGCAATTAAGGATCACATTTTTAAATAAATTCTATGTGAATTACCTTCCATGAATTTATTAAATAAATCTTCCATTGAACAATAACCACAAATTCTTAAAGAATTTTGCACGTAATTAAAATTGTTATCTAAACAGACTATACATTTTTCCTGTATTTGTTCATAATCTTTGTGTGCCATTTAATTGATTAGTTCCCTTTAGTTTTATTCAGCCTATGATGTCACATTCCCATAAATAAGAATGACCTACTCATATCTTCAACATCTTTTGCAACTGTTTCCTATGCTAAGTTACAATTTCTCCCTTCTTCTCTTCACTTAAATTGTAATCACACAAGAATGTTTGTTTTTCCAATGCTTGTTTAATCTCCAGATGTTAGTGGGACGTTTCTTGTTCATTATTATAAAAATTCAGGTTGTCACTAAGCAGCACCTATTGCACCTCCTTGGCAGCGTCCCCAGTGGTAATAAAGTTGCAGGACACCATTTGGCTATGTTTAAAATGTTTTCCAGTTACATAATTGAAGTTCCATGACACTATATGTGACTTTCACTTTAAAAAATGGCATTTTTTCAATGAAAGCATAGTTTTCAGTCTCTTGAAAGTTATTTCATGCAGCTGGTTTCCTTTGTGTAAATCTGAAGGTTAATTAAACTTACCCTCATATTCAAAACAAAATGTAGGACTGCAGTTAAAACTGTGTATTTTTTTATGAATGCAATGAATTGAAAAACAAAATTTAGTGTGAATTAACACATTAGAATTAGGATAGTCATTCTGATCTGCCAATGAAAAACATGTTCAGTATATGAGGTACCAACATACAAGACCATTTGCAGTCAACAATGAAAATTGGCAACCACCCCGTTTATAATGCCCGTTCTGATGAAAATTGATTAGATTTCTTCACTAAGTTCTCAGCTATTTTGGGGGTTGATTTTTGAACATATTGTCTTTCATATACCCCATGCAAAGTAATCAAAAGGTTGAAACTGGGATAAAATCCTTGGCCAAAATATCTAAGAAAATTATTCAAGATTATTTTATCATAAAAGTGCTCATTAAAGACATACAAAATTGCATTAACTGTATGTGAACAAGCCAAATGCTTTGAGTTAACCAACCATGCCTTGAAGAAATGGGAGAGAGTATTCTATGAGGAACCTCTGATAATGTTCACGTCATTATATCGGTGAAGAAAACTGTTTTTGCTTATCTGTTTGGATGTTCCCTGTAACTGAATTTCTTCCATAAACCACATTGTACCTTAATGGCATCAGCATCACATTAAAATACAAGGTAATTCAAAAAATTAAGGGCAATAATGGAATATTTTCATTTTATAATTTTTATAACTGCTGAGGCCTTGTCATATTGTAAATAATGTTCAGACAGTGTCATGCAGCAAGTGTGGTATAGTTGCAGTCCATTTATGCTGAGTGAGTACAGCATAAGGATGGCTGCTACACAAGAAATTTGACCCAGAAACACTAATGACCAGTTTACAGCAATTTCCATAGTAGTTACCTTACAGTTTCCAAGAATTACTGCTTCAGCATGTTGCATCCTTTGTTCCCTTTGAATGTGGAAGGGTATCCTTACCTTTCTGCATCAACAACACAGGTTCAGCTGTTTTTAAACATTTAAATCCACTCATACACACTTCATTGTAGGAAACAGTTTTGATCTACTTGGCAGCCAATTGTCAGTTAATCTCTGCCCCTTTCATTCCTTCATACACCAAGAAATTTACTACTGCATGTTCTTGTCTTTGGTGCAAACCTCTAGTGGAGCAATCATCTTTCTAATCACATAACAAAAATATTCAAATATTCCCCTTAATTTTTTTATCTCCTTTGTACCAGCATGTATGCCATCTTGACAAACAATGTTTCAGGAAGTTGGTTCTGCTTTGGTTGCTGGCAGCATACACAGTTTTGCCTGTTACCAACATTGTAGAAGATCATACTACTCTATCATCAGGATTAAAGTGAGGAATGTTCTAAAGGTATGGTCCTCTGGAACATTGGCAACAAGCCAACTTTATACAGTGCCAGCAATTAAAATCAGAACAACCATCAATAACGAACCACTGAGAAAAATTCAAGAATCAGTTAATGATTCAGGTGGTGACCCATTTTTACAAGTCTACAGCAAAACTGTAACTAATCAATAATATTAGTAGTAGTATTTATTTGTGTTAGCATGTCATTTATGTATGCAACTTAAAGTGAAGCATATTTTATCACTGATCCTGTAATGAAACCTATAATTTATGTATAATTTAGCCTTTAAGTAAAGAATATTTGATTCTAAGATACAGGTAGCCCTCGATTTGCGCCGATTCAGAATAACGCCGATTTCGAAACCAGCAAGTCAAAAAGTGAAAAAAAATATTTTACCATTATTTATAACGTTTTACAATGTATCTCGTATTGATTCTTATACTAAATCGTAATTCTTACATCGCTGATTTTTAATAAAAATTATAAATTCAGTCATCTCTGCAATTACGTATGTTTCGTTAACGCGAATTTGCTCCAGTGAGGTCGATGAATCGATAAAAGCTGTTCGTGAAATGCAAACTTTTGCATATGCGAGTTTGCTCTTATGCAGTTTCATTCTTGCGCGTTAAACTTTCAAAGGACTAATTTAATCTCTGCGGAGGTACCGGGGTTATTTTTACTGCGCGATTTTCTACAGGTCGGCGTCTTACATGACTGCAACTATCGCATAACAGCAGAGATGACTGTACACATCGATCACATGAAAGAATCGCAGTCAATTGTGGGGACCAACGAATTGCCGATTGTAAGTGTATAAAACATTCTTTTTAAATTCCCTTTATTTTATTTACGTTATTTCAGAGCTTCAAATGTAATGCCATTATATTACTCGTCAATGTTTGGGTGCTGGAAACGCATGTCATTGACTTCCCATTGATTTACATTATAAAAGAGTTTCAATTTACGCCGGTTCGCCCAGGAACGCATACCCGGCGTAAATCGAGGACTACCTGTATATGAAAATATGGTCAAATATTGTCATATTTAAACTAGCATTTGAGTTACTTAATTTTTGTGATGTATATTCGGAGAAGAGAGACCTAAACACATTTTATTTTGCTCCAATCTAGCACTTTCATTCACAAATTTTTTTTACAATGTACCATTAACAAAACATGATTTCCAAATCTAGATATTTGGCTTCTATATATTTAATATCATCAAAGCGATACCACAATATTCATTGCTTTGTGCTTCCTATGAGGGAGGACCATTTTAGCCTACAGTGATCTTCCATTAAATACATTGTTTAGAAGATGTACAGCATAATGCAATATGTCTGTAATTCATTGTGTAGTTTGTCTAACCATATTTAGGCACATTTTCAGCCCATCTGTCTATATGCAACAAATCAAGAATCACAAACACACTGAAGTACTTACATATTGGGACATTAAAAGAATCTGTTGATACATCCCACTTTTTGTTAAATTTAATCAACAGTTATGAACACCATATATGAAGATCGATATTCTTTTCTATATGCATTTCAAGTATGACTCATATCATATCATAAAATTCATAAGTAGAATTTTATTCTAACCCATCATTTTACTGGGTACAGAAAGAGGAAAAAAAAGTTTGTTGTGCTTACCTGTCATGTTTAATATTTTATTCTTTGAGGTCCATGCCAAAGCTGAGGTTGCAGCATCTTCTTGGGCTACACACCACACATTCTTATCTCCCTTCAACAGCGTCACATTTGGATATCCTAAACAAAAATTGCAGATCTGAATAACTGACAGTTAAAGTTTTAAGGGAAATAAGTACAAACTTAAACTTTATATTCAAGATAATCTTCTCAATTGACTATCACTTAAATTGGAAGAGGATGATTACATGCCACATTGACACAAAGAATTACAGAGGTGGGGGCGTTAGCTTCTAGGATAGTCACCCATGTCAGACAGATCAATGAGTAGAAGACAAAGAATAGTCCTTCAGGTTTGGATTTAACTTGAGGCTGGTAACTTTAATTTGTAAAAATAGATTCTCAAGAGGCTAAACAAATGAAGAACTGGACAACAGTATATGTTGATGCCACTAGCTTAGATACATCGACAGTTATGGTGAGGATAGCAATTGCAATGTATAATGTAAGATGAATTTTAACTAAAATGGAATAATTCCTTGTAGATACAGAAATACAGTGGTCACAGAAGCTAAGATATTAACTCAAGGACTTATGGGAATTGCAGACTACATCTTCATATGTTCTGAAATGTGAGAGATGTAAAAGCAGGTTCTGCAGTACAAATCACACTCAATAAAGCTGACTTTTGTAAGCACGGATTAGTGACATTATTATTTGATCTGAGCCACATATTGGTTTTGTCATTATAGCACAACCTGTACCTCAGCATTCATTCCATAATGTCCTTCTTTCTTAGCATATCCCAATCTTTAAGTTTCCTTCCCCATCACCACTTGTATGGCTTCCTATTTGCCTGATTAGGATATAGAGCTGATTTTGTGATTTGACTTTGAAGCAAGATAAACACATGTTACATTGCAATTGGCTTGGTATGACTTGGATGATGGGTGTAGTTGTCTAAACCCTACCTGGCTTGTAAATACTGTAAATTCCCTGATGAATGCCTTTCCATCAACTTCCAAGGCTATGTCAGCTTGTTTGGTTGGTCTCAAGTTGTTTCAAGTTCACATTTGTATTTTATTCTTATTACTATTATTATTATTATTATTATTATTCCTTTGGTCATTGATTTCAATTAAATGGCAACAAAATCTGTCAACATTTGTAATTTTTCACATATTGCCTACCCTAACCTCATTTTCTTTGTAATAATTTGTTCACCACATATTCAGTTACAACAGCAAGTCTCTTTTATCATATATGTGAATTTCCTTATGTTGTTAGGAAGAATGGGCAGCAGTTAGGGTGTGTTTGTTGTTGCAACCTCAGTGTACCAGAGTGCCACGACGGAAAGGGTGTTTCACATTACACTGAAATTTAAAACAACATTTTATCAATTAAATGGGGTTTATTTTCTTATGAAATGGCAAAAATAAGGAACAGTATATAGAGAGCTACACGACTGTCTATATTCGTCAAATAAAAACGATAATGTATTTGCAGGAGATTTTAGTGTCAAAATTAGCTGTCAGATAGTTCCATAACAAACACTACCAAGTGGCAAACGTACAGTAAACCAAATTGCAAATGTACAAGAGATTTATGTAGATTTAATAATTTATGAATAACCAACACTGTCTTAACATTAAGATTAATAAAAGTTCATTTGGAAAGGAAGATGCAGTAAATCCATAATAGATTATGCCATGGTGAATGGAAAAGTATAGCCATATGTAATGGCCATAAAGGTGTTAGAGAATTAATAGTAGGGACAGATCACTTCCTTATATAGTGGAACCTCTTTTAACCGACTTATATGGGGAGAACCACAGGTCGGATAAACCGATGAGTCAGATGAGTGAAGGAAAGGGGAACGTGGTCAAGGATATGAAAAAATAAGTAGAAGACAAAGATATAATTAGCAAAACTGAAACAAAACATGTAAATCATTGTTATAAATACTGAAATATACAGAGATTCAATACAGATTTTCCTCTGTCCCGTCGGGGATCGAACCACAGTCGTCCAGTCCGTAGCCAGTCACTATACCGACTGAGTTCATGCTGCACTGTAATATTTTTAAAGGGTCTAAAGTCACATCTGTCCAATGGCTGAAGTTTGTGGTTTGTTAGTGCTAGAAATGTCAACAGAATTATGTCATTATCATTTGATTTTGTTACTGCTGCAACTCACACATGACTTTTGTGATTGTCTAAGAGGAGGAGGATTTTATTTCCAGTGGAATTAACATGGTGAATAAAATTATCTAGGGATTCAGTAAACTTCACTGAATTTGAGCAACTGCTTGGATGAGAAGTTCCATGCATGCCTGGAGGTGGCATTATTTAACATGTAAATTTTGAAAATACTATTTAAAATATGAGTACAAGAGGAACTGAATTTATAAAAACATTGATACAGATAATTATAGTGGCTTTCACACCTCTCTCACCAGATGTTATACTGCCCACATGTATACTTTCTTTTGTAGCAATGACTTTATGAGGACTGTGTACCACAGAGAGTCTAGTCTCATCAACATTGCATATCTGCTATGGGCCAAAGTTATGTTTGTTCCAAAACAGATATATTTCCTGAAAAATAACTCAACAACAGACCTACCAAAATCTGCGTACCTAGCAAGATTAGTTGCTTGATGTTTTTGCAGGGGGCAACTTTAGTTTTGCACTTCATAAAATCAGTAAGAAATGGTTCACCTGCTTGTCCAGTCATGTCTCATGATATGGGATAATTCTTAATGTTTCTTTTCAAATTGATATGACAATACAATACCTTTATTACGCAAGATACCACTGTACCTATTGCTGAATTTGGCTATATAATCAATAAACTTACATTCTCTAGACAAAACTGTTTATACTGTACGTTATGAAGTGAGGAAAGCCTGAGGAAAAACCATTTCACTGATACTCCCAATTTGTTACTATGTATTCGGCCTATGGTAGTTGCTAGAACTTGATCCGAACTCTATCCATTAATTAGCTTTACTTATAACCTACACTCCACCACTATATCATTCTGACTGGTAGTTGTGACCACTGAGTTATGGTCAGAATTACAGACTAATGTAATTATGGTCAATTTCTAAATATATCCTGCTGGTTACTTTGTCAAACAGGAATGGATTGTGATGAGGTTCCGATACAGTATCATATGAGAGGATTTGAGATTTTCATGGCGGTGATTACGAACATGGCAGTCTGCTGGGTTGCAGTGCTGTATAGTATGGTACAGTGTGTTCAAAAAGTCACGCAACCTTATGGGGGGAACGCATGTTGTTATTCAACACATGTAATTGTTTTTTGTTTTTTTGTCCAGGTGGTGAAAAACACTGAGTAGCCATGGGGTACACCTTGCAGCAGAGAACATATTTATTGTCACGCAGTACATCCGCTCCGGCAGTTATGCCAGGACGCAGGAGGCCTTCTCAGAAAAGTACGGAACAGTTGCTCCAAACAAATCCTCCATCATGCGGCTACACGACAAGTTTCAGGAGACAGGGAAAGTCTAGAACGCATCGAGAAGCGGTCGACCGAAGGTTTTAACAGAGGAAAAGTTGGTCGACGTGCAAGCCGCATATGCTGTGAGTCCCCGGAAGTCCATTCGACGCCTTTCAAGTCAGTCCGGGCTCTCCGTCGGCAGTGCCCACAGGGAGTTGCGCAAGTGCTTGAAAATGTACCCCTACAAAATCCGTGCCGTCCAGCAACTGCTGCCTGGAGACCTACAACTTCGTTAAGCTTATTGTCAGTGGTTCATGGAATCTGAAACGCCGCATGGGGAGGAACTGGATGATTGGTATTGGTCTGACGAGGCGTGGTTCCATCTCGATGGGTACGTCAATGCCCAGAATTTTCGACTAAGGGCCGCGAAAAACCCACATGAGCTGCATGAGTCGCCTCTGCACTCACAGAAACTTAGTGTCTGGTGTGCCATGTCACGTAGTCGCATCTTCATGACATACAGTGAACAGTGACCGGTACGTTACGATGTTGCAAGAATTTGTCAACGCGTTATCGGCAGAGAAGAAGCAGATCACGTGGTTTCAACAGGACAATGCCACAGCCCATACAGCCAGAAACACTACGGCTTATCTGGAAAAGTGTTTTCCAGGCCGACTGATATCAAGGGGGTTGTGGCCAGCGCGATCTCCGGATTTAACACCCCCGACTTTTTCTTGTGGGGGTACGTGAAGGATGTCGCCTACTCAACACATCCGCACAGTATTCAGGAATTGCAAGCGAACATTCAGAATTGTGTCGATGCAATCCCATGGCAAACATTGCAATCGGTCTTCAAGAACATGATTAACCGTGTCCACTTGTGTGAATCACAGAATGGCGGCCACTTCCAGTACTTACTGTGAAATAAATAGTTTAACCATAAGGTTGCGTGACTTTTTGAACACCCTGTAGAAGTTTACTATCGTTTCAGAGGTCCTTTCTGCTTCCATCAGCAAGGATTTCTGAAACGTTGGTAAACTTCTACCAGATTACATGGCACTACAACCCAGAAGACTGCCATCTTCCACATGACAGGTGGTTACACTGTACTGTGTACTTTATATTTGCAGTCTTTGCAGCTTTAGAGCTTGCCGCTAAGTATTAGCAGTGCTGCTGCAGGAAGGAAAGTTCGGACGGCCACTGTAATAATCTTCAGTCGTGATAATGTAGGCAGGCGCTCGTCCGCCAAGAACTACACTCTCTCCCCCTAATATGGGAAAGAGAGTATCGATTTTGGTGTCGGAAAGATGGTCCGCTGTCAACATTATGGTCCTTCCCACAAATTCATTACCGGTGCCTTTCTTTTTCCACTTTCCCGGCACTACCTTTGCAGCCTTCGTCAGCATTCACGCTCTACTGCATTCCTCTTAGTTCGTAACTCTGGCAAAATTCCGTCACTGGCTACTAACGCAGTGGCTCCAAAACTTATCGTCTGGTGCCACCATTAAAGAAAAAGGCAAAATCATGCACCATGAACTGTTTTACATTAATCATTATCCATCATCAGAGGCAGAGGCAGAGATACAATGGACATTTATTGGTATTATTGTAACTGAAAATGTAGGGGAGCCCAGGGCAGAACGAGGAACTTAATCTTTGGAGGCGTGTGGAAGGGACAATAACAAAGACAAACACATGGGGGAAGCTTGTGTGGATTTATTGTCTATTTGAAATTTATAAGTTATTAGTTTAGTTATAAGAGTTACAGTTTTTTAAATATTAATTTCTTTACAAGAATGTAACTTGCCCCATACCCGGGGCAAGACAGAGTATGGTTGATATATGTTTTGAAAAGTTGTTAGAAGACACAGATTATCTAATAATTATGACGTAGGATCTAAAATTGATTTAGTATACAATGTAAAATATCGAAACTTTACACATTTGAAATCTACTTAGGCCTAACACAGACGGCAAACATGTGCAGCTCTTCATCATCGTGTCTACCAACACCTGCACTTGAGTTATGGGCCCATTTCAAACAAGACGAATACTGGATCCACCCTTCAATAGACTGCAAATAGACATCGCCAAAATACTGGCACTCGACATCTTGATCCTCTTCTCTAGTTTCACTCGGGGCAAAACTGGATACCCCATTCTGCCCTACCCCTTCCTGCCCCGAGTATTCTCTTTCAAATTAGAATTGTCCCACCAAAAATGACGTCATGAAAATAAATAAAAATATTGTGTTTAAGACTTTGAAGATAACACCTAGTAACATGCATCATTCAACAAAGTGAATATGAACAATGAATAAGTCTTACCTTTAGTGGAAGTTGAGAAAAATTTCCAAAATTTAGGAGAAAAATCCCCTATGGGTGAATATTTCAGAAACTGTGACCATAATATGGCTCTGACTGACATGACATGACCCTGTGCTGTATGCTAATGTTATTTCACCCGGTCCCGATAGATCGCAACACATTGCAGACGAAATAAAGCCGATACCCTGTTCTGCCCCGAGGCCCCGTTCTGCCCTTGGCTCCACTACATTTATTTTCCATGAAATAAGATCCTCATCTTCCCCATGGCTTTCTAAGAAAATATATCTTCGCCTACACTAACCACAGAAATTGATAGTGTGTAAAAACAACAGTAGGGGAGGATGGGTCTGTATCTTTGTATCTATGTGACACTCGTTGATGTAAGTTGCTTTGAAGTTTAAGGCGCTTACGATACTTCGATTTAATTGCGACTATTCTGAAAATGTTTTATCACATAGATATTATGTTCCAAAAAGAAGTAACACCTCGCTGAATAGTTGCGAGAGTTCCACGTGTTCCTTTTTTATACATAAGAGATAGCGCTTCAAACGTGATCTTGAGGAAAATTCAATCAGACATTCCTCAAATTTTATATAAATATGACTTATTTTCTCACCCTTTGTGACTGAAAATAGATTTCGCATCGGTTAGTGTTGGTGGAGAATTAATTGAGGATAATGTTTAACAGAATTGTTCTCAGGTTTAGTGAAATGAATCAGATCATGAGGTTTAATTTCTAAAATGCGGTATAATTTTCTTCCAGGTAATCACTCATATTGACAAACATTTCTACGGTGTCACTTTTATCGTCCTTTTTATGAACGCTGAAACCTTGTTAGAAAGTTAAAAAACGGTTGCATTTTGACCTTGAAGAGAGGAGATGAGCTTACATATATGACAAAAGATCGAGCCACTTCTTATCTAAAATTGTTCATATATTGGAGAAGCGGAGTCCTGTATCTGCGTACTTCTACTTTCAGTTCAATTTATCGTTTACGAACTTAATCCTTTTTATCACCTCATCTCCAAACGCGAGATAAGCGACTTACAGTCTGCCTACATTTTGTCATACAAAAATTAAAATAAGTTTAGTTGGCGAGCTTAAACATATTGCAGCATAGAAGGCATTTTTGATTCAAGGTCACGCGATACTAACGTCTCTCTACGAATGATGCAACGTAAAAGTTCACGTGGGGATCACTTTGCTGTACTTCAGTTTGAAAACCCTTATTGTGTCCTCTCAAAGCTGCTGCTCTGTCTATACAGATACCGACGCAGATTGCCAAAGAAACATCTTCTGCTGTGAAATTGTCATTCACTACCTTGAATATGTATATAACTCCCTGTACGTCTCTCTGAAAACGGTAAACAGAACATGAATTCTTTTCTGAATGCTTTCTTGGAAACAGTATCTGACGAACACAAGTAACTGAGCTAATCCTGCAACATTTGTTGATTCGTCGATTTGAAGTGAACATTTTCGACTGCATTTAATCATGGCCAACATTTGTTCTTGATGTCTTCTGGCACTTATTCAGTGCGAAGCATCAGTGTATTATTAGAGAGAGGAATTGTTTTAAGAGGCTGGCCATATCTTTCATCGCGCATAATTTCGCACATTTCCATGGCTGCTGGAAGGAATGTCTTTCCGATGGTATGAGGTATGAGGCTCCTTATTTTGGCTATTAAGTACGAAACCTCAAAAAAGGGCAAAAATACCTTTGTCCAAGTACTGAATGTGTTTCTCACTGTTTACTTATTTCTGGTAGTTCTGACTAAGCAAATTTCTCCAATTGAAACTGTTGTTTCCGAGGACTTGACCTTAAGTGTAAGTCGTGATATGTTTAATTGTTCTCCTGCAGCTCTAACCGACAATCCTTTGTTCTAAACAGCGCCAACATCTGTAGTAAGATTAACCCCATCGACGTTTGGTCACTTAAGACCATCTTCACTCCATGGCATAAAAGTAAATGGAGTAATTTAGATTAAAGTACAAGTTAAAATTATTCTTAAGTAAAAGCTCATATTTGCTTGTACCCTGTGCCTTTGGCGACGGTCCACGGTACGAGGCGTTTGCATGGACCAAGGTACACCACTCTAACTCTTCCAGATAATATTAGTTTAAACCTTGCCTGCTGAGTAAACAATTTGAACACATATGCAATTAAGTTCTTGATACAGTGTAGAATATATTAATTATATCAATTTGTGCTAACGTTCCTTAACTTTACTGTGAAAACATAAAACTGTACGGCCAAACCTCTGCTTCTTTGGTCAGATTTAATAAAAAATAAAATACAAGAACATTTCATACTGCTGTTATGATATAAGAAGAAGGGTAGCAAACCGGGTGTAGCGCCAACCTTAGTGTTAAAAGAGAATTTACCTTCAGTGGATAAGGAGAAAACATTGGGTGACCGTAGGTACAAGGGTTTCGCCAATATTTTTTCCTCAATGCACCAAGAAATACTTGAGTTATCCACTGTGTCAATAGAATATAAGATTGCTAAAACAAAACTGACTTGTTTCTACATTTTCTAACCTAAAGCGCGGAAAATAAAATTGTAAATTCCAATGCCTATTTCATTTGGTACATGTGTTGTATAAAGCAGGGGAGCTCAACATTTTGGGCAAGCAGGACACGCTGAAACATATCTACTATAAAAATTTGTGATTTCGTCGTCGTCAATAAATTACGTCATCAACAATGTCAACTATAAACAAACTCGGGGGGTTTAGTTTAGTTTCTTACACAAGATTTTAAAACGCAAGGGGTTGGTTGCTTTTTAAAAACTTGACCAGCCCCTCCGAGGAGCTCCGAAAGGAGCGTTCTGCCCTAGTGTATTACTATGGCCGGAGCACTTAAATATTTTTACCGTAACCAACACATAACGTAACGTAAGGTAAAAATTACCTTTTTTGTTTTTGATGCAAAACTTAGGCATTCTTGTGTTCCGCAAGAAATTTAACATTTGTCCCAATTCTCATCACATGTTGCAGGAAGAGAACTGACATAAGTACTAAAACAAATTGAGTGGCGTCAACAGCGAATATTGGAAAATCTTGTCACGTACTGCTGTAGGCATTAAGTGTACCACATTGTTAAGCTGAATTCAGACATAAACACATCGCAAACACCTCGTTTATGTGAGCTGTTATCTATAAATTGTCGAAGATACAGATTTAAAATTGAGTACAGAATTTCCTTCTCGACACGATCTCAAGAAATCAAGATTCCGACATGAGATTATTTTGATCGCAAGGCTATTTCCAAACAGGGCCAGACGTTTAACTGCTTCTCAAGTTTAAGAGGACCCACAAATTCTAGAGTCAAATTACACTGTGATTATTCTTAATTAAAGATACATTACACCAAAGTAACATGAATCTGATTATACGAGCATTGGTATACAACAATACCTGTGTTAAGCTAAGATGATAATTGTTTACACAATTTTTAGGCCATTTGTATCGTGAGGCCTTAAACTGTAGCTGAGGCAGCGTATGTGTAAGTCTGGCACTGCTTCCAGACCACCAACCGTTTCACAGAACTGAGAAACTCTATTTAATAGACTCGTTCTTCTTAGCCAAAGAACATATTCCATTCCCAAGAAAGCCAAATATATGTTATCAGTAATAATAGAACGGTTAGGAATTTTAACGACTTAACTCACCTTCAGCTGACATAAAACTCTCAAAACAAGGAGCACCAATGTAGAAAATCCTGAAATCATAAAATATTCCGTCATTAGTATTTACCCCATATTACGAAACTTCGAAGCAGATTATGTTATATATGGTGTGGGCGAGAAGTTCGTTTAGACGTTTAACGTGTCACAAAAACTTATCTTGTCTCATAAAACAGTGGATTCCTACTTCAAACAGTTTTGTTCGATGATTTCATTGTATGATGTTACCCACGGGAACGATATAATAGCTTCTTCCAAAATCGTATCACTTTTGGGACCACCAGAAACGCTTCGTTCACCGTCAGCAGGTAGCGTTTATTATTTCATACAGAAATTGTGTGTAGTTTCCTAGAGAATCCTGGAAAACAACCACTGGGCCGACCAAGAAGGAGAACGGAGGATAACATCAAGATGGATCTTAGGGAGTTGGGTTGTGAGGATGACAAATAAATGGAGTTGGCTCAGGATCGTGGCAGCCGGTAGGCTTTGGTTTTGTCGGTGTTGGACCTGTGGGTTCAGCTACCAGGGAATAATTAGTTTAATATAAAGTTCGATTTTTAATTGCGTGCAATAAATATATAAATGATGCTCTACTCTCAAAATAAGGTAAAGAAATCCTATAAATGTGTGGTAACAATCGATCTCCTGGAGAAACATGACAACACTACGCAGCGAAGACAGACGAGTTTACAATTTACGTTTCGCCAGGAATAATATACTATCTCGTCCTAGGACTTCACAAGTCACCATCTCGACTCTCAGGGGCTTCCAATTTACATATTCAATGGCAGAACTGCCTCAACTACTGGAGGATATCGGAGCCTCTGTTTACTTCACCCACAACGTCATGCAGGTTTCATACTCTGAACATCAAGACCTATGGACAGACAAAAACGGGACGGTTTTGTGGCCTCCGCGAACGCCCGATCTCGTGGCTGTCGACTTATAACTGTGGGGTCACTTGAAAGGAATAGCACTTCAACCAACTTCTGTAAACATGAACAAATTGTTTAGTTAAAATCTAATAAATATATACGCTCCTAAAACACGTCGTTCTTTTCTCATTCGATTTCCCCATGCTCCGTTGTCTTTATAGGGACATTTTGTCTCTGTTTTTCGAGTACAACACACTCCTTATTTTTTAGGGTACGTAATTAAGAATCATCCAACCTACATGTATGTATGTATATAGGTAGGTAGGTACATATGTATCAATGGCCCTAGAATCATAACATAGGCCTGTATAATATCGGTAAAATAACTCTGACATGTGATGAAACAAGTTCTCTATTCCACACAACTTTTTGTGCGCATTGTTTTATTTTGAAAGAAACTGTGACTGTATGAGATATTTTGGTTTTATTATAAGGCCTAAATCCTGCATAAATAATGCATTTTAAAGAACATGACTGAAGTATTTTCAGTTTATTGTATCGTTTTCCCATCAGATTCTCATTACTATGTGACATAATTCGCCATATTTCCTAGCACGTCTTTAATAATACGCGCTCATAAACATTGACCCAGAAACATTTTAAAATTGTTATTCTTCAGAGTACAGTTCATCCTATATTACAACTATAGAAATAAGAGTACTGTGACACTTTAAATACTAATTTTAAGAGTCCACTCCGCCCCTTTGTGGTGATCATGTCATACATCCATTGAACACAGACCAGAGGCTAATACACAGAAATTTGGACGTGCCATACGCACAGTTTAAATTGTTGAAATCAATATGTATATTTTATTGTATTTATATCTGGCATGTTTTACTTAATATGAACACAGAAATTACATATATTCAGAGTAATTATTTTAAATGTGCCCACTTTTCCCCCGAATTTCTGCATATTATTCTGTCTTTGCTCCAGGCTCTGGTAAAAATTGTGTATCCAGAGCCCAGAACAGAGGTAATTTCAGTTTGTATACTGCCCAAAATAAGCCAGTGTTCCGCAAACGGTATGCTCCCTAAAGGTTTCAGGTGCATGCTTTATAGGTAGTAAATGTAATATATTATCTATCACAATTTATAATTCGTAGCGCGCACACACACAGTTTTATATTCTATAGTTTAATTCAACAAGTGTCATGTTTATTTCCATACGCCTGCACACTTATAAGGCAAGGATCTATATGTCGATACAGACTTATGATCACGTATAGTTTCGTACATCTTTTCCGTGAGGCGAAATTTTGTGGTTTGTTGTCGTGTGTCTTTGAAAAATTAAGGTCTACCGAGGCTGAGACATATTTCCGGACCCCTGGAATAGGCCACGAGTGGGACCATATTCTGCGCAGTACAAACAAATTTGTTTTATAAAATGAAAAGACTGTTTTTCAGAGATCAATTCCTCAAAATATAGCCTTGCGATGTTGCATCGACGGTCATAGAACACTCTTCAATTAGATCTGCTGAAAACTCAGCGAAACATACGAGGTGCGATCGGAAAGTTTCCAGACTGCGCGTATAAAAACCCGTACACTTATCTCAGGTATTAAATTCATCCATCACCCTCGAAGTAGTTCCCCTGGGAGTGAACACAACGA